TGTATTTTGTTTTTAATTATTRGAATAATTGATTTTTGACGTTTATTGTTGTCGTAAYTTTTTTAGGTTTTTWATGGATTTGGCAAATGGGAACTTGATTTTTTTGACAAATGCGAACATTAGAGAAAATCATCAAAATTGTTTTGGAATTAACAAAAAAAAACAAATTAAGAAAATTATTTAGTTTTTTTTCATCAGGTTTAACACGAGGATTTTTGCGGAAATTTCGATGTTTTTCGAAAATCTGCGTTTTTTGACATATTTTTGATTTTTAAGCAATTTTTCTTCGTAACTTTGACTTTATTTAAAAAAAGCAATTTTTTTTAGCTGCTCGCCTTTTAAAATTTTGATAACAAACTGAAAAATCATTAACATTTTTAGGAATAAACAAAAAAAACGAATTTTTTTTTCTTTTTGTTAAGGATCTTGAAAAAATGTTCATTCCAATTTGAAAGTAAATTTTTGGGTAATTTTTTTACGATTTTTGGTTCAAAAATGATTGAATTTTGGCAGGTTTTTATCGTAACTTTAGTCGTATGTTTGGCATTATTTCCGTCTTTTTTGACCGATTTCTTAGAAGAAATTTAACCGTCGTTTTTTGTTATTTCAAAGTAATTTTTTCGCGAGTTTTTGGCATTTTTTTTAAGGATTTTTGGTTCAAAAATTATTGAATTTTGACTCATTTTAACAGATTTTTATCGTAACTTTAGGCGTATTTTTGGCATAATTTCCATGTTTTTTAACTAATTATCATTTTCAAAGCAACTTTTTCGACAGCTTTTTTAAAAATTTTTTTGTTTTGCGGCAACAAAGTTCAACCAAATTTTATGTATTTGACAGTTTTCACATTTTTTTGGGGATTTTTTTCTTTCAAAAATGATTTAATTTTACTGAAATTTTTAGGATTTTTGATCGATTTGGGATTAAAAAAAACGAATTTAGAGATAATCGCTCTCTTTCGGATACATTCAAAAATGAAACAATTTCAAAATTGTGACACCCAACTGAAAAATCATTAATTAATAAAAAAAAACATCAAACAAATTTGTTTTTTTTTAGATATTTTTCAGTCGATTTTGATTGAAACAAAAAGCTAGTTTTGCCGAAAAACCATTAATTAATAAAAAAAAACATCAAACAAATTTGTTTTTTTTTAGATATTTTTCAGTCGATTTTGATTGAAACAAAAAGCTAGTTTTGCCGAAAAACCATTAATTAATAAAAAAAAACATCAAACAAATTTGTTTTTTTTTAGATATTTTTCAGTCGATTTTGATTGAAACAAAAAGCTAGTTTTGCCGAAAAACTGCGTTTTTTTTCTTTTGTCTATGTTCTTTTGAAATATTTTTTTATGATTTTTTAATATTTTTTCAAAAATAATTTTTAACAAGCGTTACGCCATTTTTAAATTTTGTTCGCACTTTTTTCGAATAACTTCCGTGTGCTTAAAGATTTTCATGTTCGAAAAAGCGAATTAGATGAACTTTAATTTGTAATTCTCATTATCAAGTGAATGTTTGGGCATTTTTTATTGTTTTTTTCCCACTTCAAGTGGACCAAATTTTTTTTTAGGCATTTTGACAAATGCGAACATTAGAGAAAATCATCAAAATTGTTTTGGAATTAACAAAAACAACACAAATTTAGAAAATTATTTTGTTTTTTTTTTGCGTTTTTTTTTACTTTCGGAAGATTTTTTAGAGGTTGTTAAGACAACGATTTTGGATCAGGTTTAACACGAGGATTTTTGCGGAAATTGCGATATTTTTCGAAAATCTGCGTTTTTTGACATATTTTTGATTTTTAGGCAATTTTTCTTCGTAACTTTTACTTTATTTAAAAACAGCAATTTTTTTAGCTGCTCGCCTTTTAAAATGTTGACAACAAACTAAAAAATCATAAAAAATTTTAGGAATAAACAAAAAAAACGAAATTTTTTTCGTTTTTGTTAAGGATGTTTATCTTGAAAAAATTTTCATTCCCATTTTAAAGTAAATTTTTGGGCAATTTTTTTACGAT